TCGGAGATTACTCCGTGTGTCTGCGGTGTGGTGCCGCTTACTCACCTGGCTGTTTATTACTGGAAATGTTGTGATGAGTCAGAAGGACCTGAAGTCTCTTGACCTCCTCACTCAGTTTCTTAACTTCCTGTTGACAAAACAGACCAACAAAACAAGCCAAGCTATTCACTTTCACATTCAACAGAAACATCCAGAATAACTTACGATGTTTCTGAAATGCTGTAAATACTCTGAAATGCAGTTACCTCACTGCACTTCTCCAAGGACTCAAAGTTTTTGGGGTTTTTCTGGACATTTGGGGTCTCCTTCACCTTTTGGGTTTTCAGGTATCCCGCCTCCTCAAAGATGTCTTTCAGAAGTTTATTGTATCCCTTTAAATACGAACCAAAACCCGTGACACCAGAACCATTCAGAACAACACAGCTACATCAGAGCCTAAGCTGTCCGGTCTCTCACCTGCTCCGTGACAAACTCTTCGTACAGAGCCTGCTCTGCCTCGTCCCACTCCTTCTGAAGTTTGTCGCCAAGCACGGGATAAACTGTAGATACACAGAAAAGCTTTGTGACAAGCGGGTTGGGACACTGATGACTTGTTCTTGATGATATGGGATACTAATGTCCCACTATCATTCTACAAAGCTATTGTCAGAATACTATCAAGATTTTAATATTTAGGTTATTCTTTTGTATTTTTGCCGTCCGTTAACACTTCATGCAACACCAAACAATTCTGATGTAACTTAGAGAGTCAATATCTTTGCTTACACAGCACTAATGTTACAAATGTTTAGCATCCTTTAATTTTCTTAAATATGTACTGATCAGTCGGCTTACCCAGAAGCGAGTGTGGGTGACACACCAATGGCGTCTCGAAGGTCAAAGAGTACATGCAGGTGCTGGGCTCCGAGACCTGCGCCAGCTTACTGCTGCCCCCACAGACCAGGAGGACCTGAAAATCACACGGCACGTGGACAAACCAAAGACGTGGTTTTTATTCACCACACAGCTCAGTAATGCAGACTACCCCCACCTAAGCTTTCGCTCTTGATCCCGACTGAATAACTCGCCGACCAAACCCCCGATATGGCCATACCTTCGTCTGCCGGTTTTTATTTCCACACGAGTCTCCTTCTCTCATCCACATGCCTGTGAAGGTATTATTTGCGATCTCCCACTCCTGCCATATCCTGGAGGGACAAAGCTGGGTGAGGATGGTGCTTCCATGGGCAAACATGAGGGATTGGCTGTGTGGTGGTGCCAGAAGGCAGCACTGAACCCTCACCCGAGAATCCCGCTGTAAGCATTCCACCGAAACGTCTGCTCGTGCTGAGTCACGTTGTGGAAAGGACAGAACTCATATTTATACCTGTAACAGTAGCCAAAAAAAATAACAGAAAATTTGTGATCAATCTCAGGAAACTTTCCATGGGAAGTTAAACTGGGGAATTTTGGAAATATTGAACTCCATGGAACTCTGCCATATATCAGAGCACATACAAAGAAAATAAACTGTATAGATAATACTGCATAGAATATGACTTTAAGCATCTGCCTCATGACGCACTGCTTATTTTTACACACACATAATTAGTCACAAGCACTCAGTTACGCAATGATATCACTATTAGGGTAATTCCATGTCAAATCATCACACATTTGGACCTCATCATCATAGATTTTAATGAAACATGGCATGCTGATTTGGTCATATGAGTATCCCATGAAACCGAAACTGCACATGTCTAGGATCAGTATTAAGGTAGATTTAAGCTAACAAAGTTTGAACTTACTGGGGGGGGCTATATCTCCCTTAATATAAGTTGTACAGAAATGGTTCTCATATCATTTTAAAGCCCCCCAAAATGAAAAATTCCACAAGTGATTATAACATTACAAACTGAATAGCGAAGTAACATATTTTAAAATTGGTTGATTTTTTACTAAAGTTTGCAGTGCCACTTTACATTAAGGCTACCCATATAAATGAATGGTTTATAATCTGGTTATTAAATAGGTCGTAGCACTTTGTAAATTATTAATAGACAATGTTAAACAAGCTATAACACAATTTTCTTTTCATTAATGAGTTATTACCATTTACAAGTGGCAAAAGGGAGCCTTATTGTAAAGTGGTACCAAGCTAGCTTATAATGTCATGAACATCTCCAGAAAGATGGTGTTTGGTTCTTGAGTCATTGTCGAGATATCATTACTTATCTGAAGTGAGCATCAAAACTTAAATTCCTTACAATGCTGTTAAATAGCAGCTAGTGATCAGTGCAGGGTACAAGGTTATTAGGGTTCGTGAAAACTAAGATTAAAGCCAGAACTAGCAGTGAAAACATAATCCACATAATTGAAATAAGAATTACAGTTAATGAATAAAGAGAGACAAAAATGCCAAAGTAACTAAAACAAAATAGAATTAATGGTAAAATCCGAATAGTTTTAGTTTCCCTTCAATTCACATTTGACATTTAAGTTCCCTGTTATAGGCTAACCTGCAATTGTGCAAATATCCAGTTTAGTCGCATTAATTCCCATGGAAAGTTTCCAGCTTCAAAAATTCCCAGAATTTTTCTACCCCAAGTGTCTCCGTGGGCAGCAGCTGCCGAACACTTCCAGGACTGAGCGTTTGAGTTCCACCTCTGCTCTGTCTGTGTGTCTATGGGAAATCCTATCTAGGGTGTACCTTATGCTGCCTGGGACAGACCCCACTCCCCCCCCCATATCCACAACCAGACTAAGTGGTTGGGTGCATGTAGCCATATCTCATCTAGTTCTTCATCAAATATTCTGAAAACTACAGTTGAACCAGTTAATCAAGCAAATGGTTAGAAAACTACAGATGTAAAGGTGGATAGCATTTTGACTGATTACAGGCCAGGCAGTAGTCCCACGCTCACCTTACCCATCCTCACATACATGGCATGGTACTTACGTGGATTCTGTGTAACTGAAACACTTCCCAGCCAGGACATGAAGATGAGGAGGTCCTGTAACAGATGAGCAGAACATAAAAATACAGACACAGATTTCACTTACCACCCATGAAAATAAACTCAAAATATTAAAACAAACACCAAACAAATGTTTTGCATTAGAATATCATCCTTAAACAAGAAAATGTAAGTAAATAAATGTTTGCAGATGACTTTAGAAATTACGTAAAAAGCACCAGCTGACATAAGGGACCTTCACAGTACAAACGGGTTTCTTATTCACTTTTACCTGAAAATGGTGATGGAGACACTTTGGGCTGAAGCCTGTTGCCTTGGCCTAAAAGAGGATTGTTGAGTCTGAAAGAATATGGCACTGTCAAACCGTTCAGTTATAAGTGTAGAACATAAAATACAATACACAATAAAATAAACGTAGGCTACATAGGCTACACTGTTTTTTACGTACCCAAATGTATTTGGTTCTTCCACAATCTTCATCTTCCCAGCAGATGATAATGTTACTAGATTAAAATTAAAGCAACGTTACACAGGCACACGAACCTGTTTTCATTGAATGTGAAATGCAAACACACACGATCACCAAGAAGTAAAGTACAAATTACATATACAGGATACCAAATTCAAGTATTTTCGTACCAGCCTAAACAGGCAGTCAGCGAACACAGCACTTGTAATAAATTTGGAAACATTTCAACGTCATAGATAAAAAAAGTACTTACGCTGTAGGCTAAGAACCAGTAGATACAACCGACCTAAACTGCATATTCTTGAAATAAGATGCATGCTTGTTGTCATATAAAACAGAGATGTATACAACACTACTAACCAGCTAAACTGTGGCGTCCATAAGTGAACCAGATAGTGTGGGTAACGTGACCAATGACGTCAGCGAAAAATGTTATGTTTCGCGTTCTCAAACTCCAAAAAATAAACGACGCCCATGCGGATATACCTGCACTGCGATCATAAATATAAGATTCCTTCCTTACAAAATGCATGAATGAAAACCATAACAAATACGGTGTAAAATATTCTCGCTGATAATTTTGGAATTTCATCAAAGTGGCAGTTTCGGGTTTTACGATGAACGCGGGCGGCTACTGCAACCTACAAAATAAAGCCGCCGCCAGACATGGCTGCGGAAACGTGGTGGATTATCGGCGTGTTGGTCAATATTTCACAAAAGCAAAGTTGATTGTTATAGTGCAGTATTTTTTTACGCACTTGACTAAAGTTAATTGTTATTTATGTAGGTATAGTTGGTTTTTATGTGAGCTAAGAACGTAAACAGCTGTGTTATGTACCGAGAGAAGCTGTTTCTGTAACGTAATATTCGCGTCGGTTATGTTGACAGTTCATTAGAAAAGCAGGAACTTATTAGTTAATGATTTGGAGCAGGATTAAAACAGTAAGTGACTTGCGATGGGGCGGAAGAAGCAACAACAAGGAAAAGCCGAGCGATTGGCAACTCGTGGGAAAGACACCCGTCACAGGATGAAGGGGAAATCGCTGGAGAGCTTCACTGAAGAAATGCACGCCGCCCTGCAAGGTGAACTGCACTGCCTGCATTTAACAGCTCAATAGCTATGCACAGTGCTTAAATATGTTATAATATAGTCCTCATAGTTGCATTTGTATCAGCACGTTTCTGTACTTTGTATAATTTGAGTGCAAAACAGTTACCTAACTAATTTTGTGGAGAGATTCAGTACTGTGACAGAAAGTTCTGAAAGATATGGCTGTATTTTATTTTGTCGTGTGTTGCTTGCAGCGAATGTAGAGGCAGACGGTGATGAAGCAGCCCGGGTGAAGTTACCCTGCCCCCTGGCCATGTGGGACCTGGGTCACTGTGACCCCAGTAAATGCACGGGCAGAAAGCTGGTGCGCAAGGGCCTAGTGCGCAATCTGAGGCTCAACCAGAGGTTTAACGGTCTCATCCTCAGCCCTATGGGAACTAAATATGTCTCTCCACTGGACAAGTGAGTGACAAGACCATCAACCGAGCCCCTAACTGTCATCCCACTGCATTCAGGGGTGAATATCATCCTTCTACTTGCAGAGACATCGTGGCTAATAGTGGGGTGGCTGTCATCGATTGCTCCTGGGCGAAACTGGAGGAGACACCCTTCAGCAAAATGAGAGGGAGCCATCCTCGCTTGCTGCCATACCTGGTGGCAGCGAACCCCGTAAACTATGGCAAGCCATGCAAGCTCTCCTGCGTGGAGGCCTTTGCTGCCACCTTCTGCATTGTGGGTAAGGATGAAGTGCCAGAGGTGGGTGGCATAGATAGATAGAAGTACCAACACATGCGTGAGGAATTAGGAAAGGATGTTGGGAAAGTTATAGTTAACCTCGGTAGAGTAAAGTGATGATTTGTGGATGTTGCAGGATTCCGAGACTTGGCTGTGATCCTGCTGAGGAAGTTTAAATGGGGGAAGGTGTTTCTGGACCTGAACTGCACCCTGCTGGAGAAGTACGCGGGCTGTCAGTCTGAGGAGGAGCTGCTGGCTGTGGAGAAGGACTTCCTTACCAGCAAACCGGAGGAGGAGGAGATAGGTACAGCAGTGTGACATGCTGGCTGTAGGCTAACGCCTTAGATCAGTGCTTCCAAATCTGGTCCTCAAATTTTTCGATTGACAGGACATTCAAAGACATGAGTAAAGTTCTGTGATATTTTTTTGTCTCATCAGATCCATTTGATGTTGACTCTGGGAGACAGTGTTCGAATCTCAACAGACCCAGATGGTGAGATGAGTGCATGTTTGACATTCTCTACAGAAACATTTCCTCAAGCAAGTATGAAAGCATGAAAAAACACTGTTTGCAATTGGCTTGTGTTCAGGGGTACTCAAGAAGAAGAAGAAAATGAAAGTGACAGCGAGGAAGAAGAAGAGGAAGAGAGGGAGGAAAAGGAGGACACCGAAGAGAGTGAGGATGAGGAAAAGGAGGACACCGAAGAGAGTGAGGATGAGGACAGTAGCAAGAGGTGTGCCAGTGCATCTGCTCCCAGTGCAAATGACATTTGGAAGGGGGCAAAGAAAAGAATTCGGAACTAAGGGCTTCTACCCAGCATTTATGCTTTGGATATTAATGAGACTTGACCTTGGGTTACATTGTGGTTCATTTCTGCTAAGGGTTACCTGAGACCCTGCTTGTACAAAATTTAAAGTTGTAATCAGTAACATGTACAGCTTCATTTAATAAAGTTTATTCTCCATTTGTAGTTTTAATAATGGAATGTTTGTCTACATGTGGTTTGAGTATTTGAGCACAGGGAAGCAGAGCGATAACTGCTGATATCATCAGTATGCATTATAAATAGACCTCATTTTCAGGAGTGATTTAATATCCTTGGCACATGTCCAGTAACAGGAAATTTATACAAATTGCTACAATACAAGACAGTCAGCCAATGACACGATAAACATCTGTGTGACTAAGTAACAAATTCACTATGCTACAATTCATTTCAAAACAAGAAAAACCTTCGGACAGCACGTGTTAGACTTCAGCAGGTTACACTAGTGTCCAAAAATGTGGAACCACTTCCAGTTTTTTAGAGAATGCAGAAGTTTTTAAATTGCTGCTCAAGTTACTTATTTAATTGTCCAATGTATGACATTTGTAACGTTCTTTGTTTATAAACATCACCGGCAATATTTGTGTAGTAATTTTTAAAGCATAATGCCAAAAATGCTAGGTGTTTCTACAATTTTGGCCACTAGTGTACATGTATATTTAGAGATTTTCTTTTGTTTAGAAGAGTATATGCCATTGATTTAATATCTTTCTTTGGTTCATATAAAACATAGACCACGCAAATGATGCGACACAAAGAAGTCTGAAACACTAGTTAGGAATGATCAAAAAATCAAGGAGCACTTTTACTCAAATTAACAATTACCTATCTAGTACAAACTTTTAAGCCAGGTAAAATTCATTTTATCATTGCTTATTAAATATTCACAGGAGCAAAAGGGTTTATCTAATTATTAATACTGGTGAGCCAATAATGGTACCCATCATTAGTGACCGATAAGAAAGCCTTACCACTGGGTTTGGGCCGGGTCAGGTAGAGCACGACCGGCTGCATGGTTCTGGATGCACCAGGCTTGTCCAACCCATAAAAATCACTGAGTGAGACTGTGCCTTCCCCGGCGAAGTCATTGGCAGACAGCCAGTCATAGTCCATCACGTTGAAGACCACACATGCAGACCTGTGTCTGCACTGCTCAAGACTGACGTGACTGCAGGGAAATAATCTCAAACATGGGAGGAGGGAACAGTGGCTATCTGGCCGACTGGCCTATCGGCCGTCACCACGGCACCAAAGATTCAAGGGCAACACAATCAGTCACCACTCACAAGTAAAAGACCTCATCAAAAACCGGATGCAGAGTCTTGGGCTTCACTTGAGTGCGCCGACTTTTGCTTGTGGGGAAGAGGTGCTGAGGACAAAGCTCCGCAATGACAAAGGGGTCGCTCAGCCCTACAAGTGACCGGGGAGAGCGGAGCTGGTGAGGCTGGCAAGCACACAATCGCTAAGGCTCTGCTGCGCATACACACCCACCATTGGTGTCAAGAGCTATGAGATCAGAGGCGTGCAGAACCTCCACAGCCAGCCGCTCCTCTTGGGATTCATAATAACACTTCGCACTGATTCGTCCATATTGACTGTGTCGCAGTGTCCTCTGAGAAGAGAGCAGCCAAAGATGCATTAAGTTACTTTCAACTTCAATCAACAGTACCGAGGTCAACAAAGTGTCACATACTAAGACCCACATTACAAAGACAGCCCATCATCATTCTAGCTTCCACGAAGATGGCACCCCTAGTCAAAAAGCTCAGCCCACCTGCTGTGCAATTTTCTCCAAAAAATACTGCTCGATGAGCTCACTAGACGAGCACTTCATTAACCACAACTCCTTCTCCAGAGCCTGAAACAAAACAGAGAGTGTAATTATATAAATCACAATGCCCCAGACCAGTGTTTCTTAACCCAGTTCTCGTGGACCACCAGTCAGTCCACGTTTTTGCTCTCTCGCATTTCCCTGGCAATTGGGTGAGACCATAAATGTGGAGCGTCTGGGAGTCCGGTTGGGAAACACTGTCCCAGACATGATTGTTATGTGGTTAATAAAGGGGTTTACATATGCAGGTCTGAGGGCAAATATAGGCAGACCTGTTCTACAGGTACTTCCACAGCATGTTTATCTGAGGTCATCACTGGAAGCACAGCCAAGAAATCCACTATTAGCCAACTACACCTGAGCTGCTCTGCGAATGTCTGATGCCTGGTGCTGGTGCCCACCTTGTAGTCTTCATTCTTAAGGTCCTTAAGAGGAAGCCCCTCTCCCTCAGCATGGAAGAAATCCACCAAGGCCTTAAAGGAACACATGTGTGCTATATTACAGACCCATAGAAGCCTGTGCTTTCCATGGCCACATCAGTTCTTGCCCTGGAACATCATTGTAGGTAGTTTGCAAAATAGAGAAGTCACAGTATAAAAAAACATTTTTATAAAAATCTGTGACTGCAATCAAAAAACTAAAAATGGCAAAGGATGTATTTTGTTTGGTTACTTATGGATAATGTTAGGACTGGGTAGGGGTTAAAGGTTAAGACTATCATTGTTGAGATTAAGATGTTGCCCATAGAAATGAATGGACAGTCCCCACAAAGATATGAGTACCCATCTGTGTGTGTGTGTGTCTGTGTGTGTGTGTGTATCGAATGCAAAATCACTATCAAAATGGTTATTTGCTTTGAATTAATTCCTTCTTGAAAGAAATTCTGAATGTAATGATTATTTGATTATTCCACTTTATTAAGTACATCTAGCTAATACTGGGTAGGACTCCACGTTTCCACCAGAACTAAGGGTAGACAAGTCCAGCCTTCCTGCACACTGCTGCTGTATTCAAGTACTATTTTTGCATTTGCAGCCTTCTTGTTAATTTTAATGGGTCTGGCCTTTCTACTCTGACCTTTCATGAAACTGTTTTTGACCACTCACGATGTTTTTTGTTCATCGCATAATTTTCTGTAAACTCTAGATACAATATTGTGCAATAATCCCAGGAAGGTGGCTGTTTCTGACATGCTGGAACCACCACATCTGGTAACAATAACCAGTACGGCACATTCACAATCGCTTAGATCACACACCGTAGCCACTCTAATCATTAGCTAAGCAGTAATGGAACTTGTAGCTCTTCTCCGCATGCTGTATATTTTCACTTGCAACCACATGATTTGCTGATTGGGGGAGCAGGCTCTTTGTGTTAACAAACAGGTGCACATAATATACTAGCCAATTAGTGTAGAACTAACCTCCAAAGTGAAGTGAAACCTTCCATAAAACTCCAGTGAATCACCACTGTTCTCTGCCACGGTGTCAAATACCAATTTGAAGAGAAGCCACCACAGGCCATTCAGGACCCTGGAGTAGCAGAGGACCCATAATGCAATTGTGCCCATAGATACACTGCCTGGTCCAATCAATAATGCTGTACTACAGGCATATGGAATATAAGGCTGAAACTGCAGAACCCAATATTTGGAAATGGCAGCATTCAGCAATGTTACTTATTTTGTTTATTAATCAGATTAATTATCAGTTAGGCAGGATTATTGTTTGAAAAAACAATTTGTGTCAAAATACATAAGAAAAATCACCTCGCCAAATTCTTCTTGACAAGAGATGCACTTTAGTATCACTAAAGTGTCATCTAAATATTTCATTAACGGAGAGACTGCCTAGAGAGGAAAGAACATTCCAGAATTACATTAAATGTCTATTGGCAGGAACAACTGTCAGTAAGAAAAAGGGCAAAACAAAAGGACCACAATCAAGAGACTCACCTCATCATTGTTGATAGTGTCTGGGGACAGACTAATGTGCTGGATGTATTTTTTCAAATCTAACAGCATCTGCACAGACCAGAACAGTTACCCCAATCACACACTACACAGCTCATGTTCTTTATCATTTACCTCATTTTCTTTATCGTTGACACTTGTTCAATTAATAAATGTAAATATACACTCACCTAAAGGATTATTAGGAACACCTGTTCAATTTCTCATTAATGCAATTATCTAATCAAATAATCACATGGCAGTTGCTTCAATGCATTTAGGGGTGTGGTCCTGGTCAAGACAATCTCCTGAACTCCAAACTGAATGTCAGAATGGGAAAGAAAGGTGATTTAAGCAATTTTG